CACTGAGGAAGCTGCAAATTCCAAAGGATCTGAGGAATCTGAGGAAGCTGCAAAATCCGCAGGATCTGAGGAATCTGAGGAAGCTGCAAATTCCGAAGAATCTGAGGAAGCTGAGGAAGCTGAGGTAGATGACGGTACTGAGGAAGCTGCAAATTCAGAAGGATCTGAGGAAGCTGCAAATTCAGAAGGATCTGAGGAAGCTGCAAATTCAGAAGGATCTGAGGAAGCTGCAAATTCAGAAGGATCTGAGGAAGCTGCAAATTCAGAAGGATCTGAGGAAGCTGCAAATTCAGAAGGATCTGAGGAAGCTGCAAATTCAGAAGGATCTGAGGAAGCTGCAAATTCAGAAGGATCTGAGGAAGCTGCAAATTCAGAAGGATCTGAGGAAGCTGCAAATTCAGAAGGATCTGAGGAAGCTGCAAATTCAGAAGGATCTGAGGAAGCTGCAAATTCAGAAGGATCTGAGGAAGCTGCAAATTCAGAAGGATCTGAGGAAGCTGCAAATTCAGAAGGATCTGAGGAAGCTGCAAATTCAGAAGGATCTGAGGAAGCTGCAAATTCAGAAGGATCTGAGGAAGCTGCAAATTCAGAAGGATCTGAGGAAGCTGCAAATTCAGAAGGATCTGAGGAAGCTGCAAATTCAGAAGGATCTGAGGAAGCTGCAAATTCAGAAGGATCTGAGGAAGCTGCAAATTCAGAAGGATCTGAGGAAGCTGCAAATTCAGAAGGATCTGAGGAAGCTGCAAATTCAGAAGGATCTGAGGAAGCTGCAAATTCAGAAGGATCTGAGGAAGCTGCAAATTCAGAAGGATCTGAGGAAGCTGCAAATTCAGAAGGATCTGAGGAAGCTGCAAATTCAGAAGGATCTGAGGAAGCTGCAAATTCAGAAGGATCTGAGGAAGCTGCAAATTCAGAAGGATCTGAGGAAGCTGCAAATTCAGAAGGATCTGAGGAAGCTGCAAATTCAGAAGGATCTGAGGAAGCTGCAAATTCAGAAGGATCTGAGGAAGCTGCAAATTCAGAAGGATCTGAGGAAGCTGAGGCAGATGACGGCACTGAGGAAGCTGCAAATTCCGAAGGACCTGAGGAAGCTGCAAATTCCGAAGGATCTGAGGAAGCTGAGGAAGCTGAGGCAGATGACGGCACTGAGGAAGCTGCAAATTCCGTAAAATCTGAGGAAGCTGACGACTCAGAGGAAGCTCCCCCATGTACGTGAAACGTTTTTGGCAACCGACGTGATGCTATTCAATTTATTTCATAGCGCATTATATATATAAATTGGATTATTCCTTTATACCTTTTCGATATTTTATCCAATCGTACATATTCCACAGCAAACCATCCATTCTTTGCCATGTTTGTTGTTTGCCTTTTACCTTATGTTAGAATTCTTGTTTTGTTAAATGTCCCCCTTTATTTGTGCAGATCTCCTTGCTGTTTAGCCATAACTATGGCGGGTAATTACAATTATTATGCACATTGTGCTTAGTCCATGAACATAATAAATATCTACCTATCTCCCATTATTTATGTCATATTTATTAATGCTGTGATCCAGTTAAGTGCAATATTTAAGTACAGTTTGTCGCATTTTAAATGTGTGGATAAATATGATTTTGTAGGTGGAATATGTGGATAGAGACTACATTAGTTTCACAACGACATTTTTTTTAGCATTATTGTCATTCGATCAATCTTATTCGTTGATATTTGTATATGTATTATAACGGGGTGCCCGGCTCGTCCCCGCTATAATTAGTTTATCTACAATAAATATTAGGAGTCCTGATCGAGATTCGAACCCGATACCTTCGGACTGCTAAATGGAGCACTTACCACTGTGCCACTGAACCCGCTGTCCGACCTGATAAGTTCTATTTATTTATTTTTTCGGTCATTCCTAGGTGTACCCCCCTCCAGCTCTGTAACGCCACGTTACAGTATATACGAAACTATATTACGTTGGTTCCAAACGAATATAAGGGTACATAATATAGAACCATTACTTTTATCACACCAGTTATTAAGTCTTATTCGTGTCTCTCTTAAAGAAATAAATCTTATCTTACCTTTTATCTGCTTTACAGCGTTAACAGCTGTTAATAAATCGTATATTATAACATCATCCTTAGTTTGGAAATATTTTCCACCAGTATTTTTAAAAGAGCCACGTACAATCGATACCTACATCAAAATTTCACGCAGGTGTTTATGAGCTTTATAGAACTTCTTATAACGAAGTTAATATAAAGTTTTACAATTTTACATATTTTCGGATCGCTTTCGCTTTTTCCATTTACATGTTACGGTTAGAAGCAAATCATAGAAGAATTAGCAAATAGCAAAATGCCACGGCGATAATCGTACTTCTTGTCATTCTCCTGCTCTAAATTACTGCGTTCAAATTTCATTGTGCCCAAGAAACTCATTGGCGAGATACTATTGATAATTCAAACTCTTGGTATATGCCGTCAATAATCTTTTACCTTCGTTTTCTCGATATAGTTTGAACCCGTGATGTTGATAATTATTTATTCATTCGTATATTAACATATCCACATCTGAATAAGACTCATAATAGTTAGATAATTCACAGCATTTCCGAATGTCGTGCGAAAATATCACAACGGAGACTGTTCATGTTCAGATCATTAAATTGTACAAATATACGACTTGGGCTTTTTCGATAATTTTACTCGCGTTATACATTCTCCAAATAATTGAATCGGTTTGTCCATGAAACGAGATTCTGGTCATTACATTAAATATATAAATTAATAGTATTTAAGTAGTTATACAATTTAGTTACATATAAATCGCGGTATACTAATTTTGAAAAATGCATCAAGTAAATGCATTAAAAACAAAGTGTGCATGTACACCATATCGAATATGAATGTCTATTGATAATTTGTATTTCAGTGACTCGGTCAAGTCTCGTTCCAAGTATGGGCAATTAGTGCTACAAGCAACGGCCGATCGAGACTCTTTACTCGAAGTAACAATTGTACCAGAGTTTCGAATCAAACATCTTATGAACTACCATACACAGGAAAACGTAACGATATATTCATAATAGGATTTAAATATGCTGCATCGATTGCAATCAAAATAAAAAAAAGGATGATGGACGGGATTAGAACGTGGTTGACTAGAGATCAAACTCCTAAATATCTTCACGAGATTATCTGACCTGTGCCTCTTATCATGCAAGTTACTTAAAATCTGTCGAACGTTCGGCCTATTACAGTGAAGGCTCTCCATAATCAGAGCCCTGCGTGTGTGATTACACAGAAAATCGGTCGCATCGTAATTTCAAATCAATTGCAGTCTACATTGTATATTACATTTTTTTAACTGGGATAAATATTTATGTGCCTCTAAGAAAACTGACACTTATATATTAAATTTGTATGTTATGCTTTTCAACATTTTCATACAAAGAAATATAGACTTTAAATTATTGACGTCACAAGACATTTACATTTATTATCATTTATATCCATGCCCAAACTTTTACGATACTAACTTTCACCAGACTAATAATATTCTTAAGTTTGTATTCACAACTCGCTCTTAAAGTCACTAACAGAGTCGCTTATAGTTAAAAGTCATTAAGAAAAAATTTAAAAGCGCGCTATTAGCACTAAAAGCGAGTTCTGAACACGGGCTTAAGACTGTATGTTGTTATTAGGCTTTTAGCATGTTAAACAAATTCGAATATTCTGTTTTGAAAGTTGACTTTCTTTTTATTCAAAGATTGGCAAAATAAAGACAAAGTTTTCTTAAATGCGGATACGGCAACTAGTACGCTATAAGGAATCACTTAACATTGTAGAAATTGTTAAATGAAAATTAAATGATAATTAAGTAGAAGCAGAAAATAACACATAGGGCTAGTGAAAACGTAACTGGAAATTCCGAAAAATAATTAAAATTATCTACTATTGCCATATCATGTAATAAGTAGTTACCTAGTGAGTTATGTGCTGGACATTATGATATGATCTCAATATTTTGTGTATGTTGATCAATAATGTAATAAATAAATACTAGGATTTTTCTTTGCAAAAGAGAAACTCACAGCAATTCTATACGTAGTGGACTATTTTACACAAAAGTGTTATTTGGGAAAAAAATTTGCGGCTGTAAGTAACCAAGGTGTTAAGTCAGTGTGCTTGAATACATGCGTAATGCTGTTAAAACTGAAGAAAGTAGCTGTATAAGTAAAAAACGATAAGTTAGCAAATTAATTGCATATTTGATATACGCACGTTGCTTACTGCGTAAAATGTCTGATCATTTTTCATGGAAAGATAACAAAAGATAATACGAAGGATTACGAAGGATACGCAAAAGTAATAATTATAACTTGTATACGACATTATAATAAATTACTTTGTACAGTCGAAAAAGTCATAATCATTGACGCCACACGAGGTTGACACAATTGGTACCAAATTTCGACAAATATTGATAGCGATACCACGAATTAAAGTGTATATAAAGGCCACATCCTTCATGAAAAATATAATTCCGTCAGTGTTACAACTGCTGCATCAATATGGCAAAACTAGCAATTTTTACTTGCGTTCTTTTCCTAGCCTGCGTAAGTATCAGTAACCAGAAGATTCAATATATCCTAATTTTCACTGTCACTTGCTTCACATAATATTAGCGAATGGTCGTAAGTTTTAAAATTTGCAAAAATATGTAATTCTGCCCAACTAATATATATTTTTTCAATTTTAATTTTTAGATAAGCCAGGTATTCACTTTCCCTGGATTAAATCTGGCTACCGGTAAAACCCAAACTGATGGAAAATCTATATCAAGCAACGTATTAACAAGCAGCGAGGAAAGTGTTGAAAGTGAAAGTGCAGATTCATCCGTCTCCGAAGATAGTGACGAGGTTTCCGAAGAGGATGTCGTTGATGCTGCAGTTTCACCCGTCTCCGAAGACGCTGGAGATACCAATAACGGAGGAATCCGCGCTTCTATGATGAAATTGATCACATTTCTTAGAAATCTATTCAGCTTCAGAAGCAGTGGCTCTTCCGAAGACAATGAAGTTTCCGACAATTCAGAGACGCAGGTCGTAGATGATGAGGAATCATCCGAAGACACTGAAGTCGAGGTTACCGTGGTCAAGACCGAAGACATTGAAGTATCTTCCAACCCCGATTTTATTGTGGACTCCAAAATTATCTACGATGAGGTCCCAGATGCTTCAGAGGTTTTAGAGAACTGGGATGAAACTTCAAATTAGGCGTGTTATCTCGAGCAGTCTATCGACTTCGAAGCTAGTAATGCATTCGAAGAAGCAGAATGTAAAAAGTCCACAGACCTTCAAATTTTCTTCTGTTCATAAAACATTATTTAGCAATGATTTAGATCAATTTGGTCTTATTGTTTAATTGACTGTGCTTATGAATATGTGAGCGAATTATCTCCTGTGCCTTTCGCTGTTTTTATTGAAATTACCTTTTCTATCCCCCGTTATGATATACACTCTTAACGCTTTTAACAATCTGAAAAGTTATAACGGGGTGACCGGCTCGTCCCCGCTATAATTAATTTATCTACAGAGCCGCCAGGGAGCGCTAGAGGGCTAGGAGTTTCCGAAGAATTAGGAGTTCTGATCGGGATTCGAACCCGATACCGTCGGACTGCCAAGTCGGGCACTTACCACTGTGCCAACGAACCCACTGTC